ACCTCCACAGATTGGGGGTGTCGCCTCCTTACAGGTCCCGGGGGACCCCCGCCCAACCGGCGAGCCTCGGGGACATCCCGGGAGGGCGAGGTGGACGTGGCCCCAGATGTTGGTGGCCCTCAAGGACCAGGGGTGCTTGCCACCGGACTCCAAGAGCCTGGTGGCCCTCGAGGACCAGGGATGGTTGTCACCGGTCCACAAGAACCTGGTGGCCCTCAAGGACCAGAGATGGTTGCCACCAGACCCCAAGAGCCTGGTGGCCCTCGAGGACCAGAGATGGTTGCCACCAGACCCCAAGAACCTGGTGGCCCTCAAGGACCAGGGGTGCTTGCCACCGGACTCCAAGAGCCTGGTGGCCCTCGAGGACCAGGGATGGTTGTCACCGGTCCACAAGAACCTGGTGGCCCTCAAGGACCAGAGATGGTTGCCACCAGACCCCAAGAACCTGGTGGCCCTCAAGGACCAGGGGTGGTTGCCACGGGACCCCAAGAGCCTGGTGGCCCTCAAGGACCAGAGATGGTTGCCACCAGACCCCAAGAACCTGGTGGCCCTCAAGGACCAGGGGTGGTTGTCACCGGACCCCAAGAGCCTGGTGGCCCTCAAGGACCAGAGATGGTTGCCACCAGACCCCAAGAGCCTGGTGGCCCTCGAGGACCAGAGATGGTTGCCACCAGACCCCAAGAACCTGGTGGCCCTCAAGGACCAGGGGTGGTTGTCACCGGTCCCCAGGAGCCTGGTGGCCCTCGAGGACCAGAGATGGTCATCGCTGGAGCGTTGGAGCAGGATGGACCTGGGGGACCAGAGACAATTGTCCCCAAGCCCCGTGACCTGGGTGTCCCCCAAGGACAGGAGATGTTTGTCCCCAAAGCCCATGAACTGGGCGCACCCAAGGGACCAGAGACAATCGTCCCCAAAGCCCAAGAGCCAGGTGTCCCCCAAGGAGAGGAGGTGACCGTCCCCAAAGCCCATGAGCTTGGTGTCCCCCAGGGACAGGGGACAGTCGTCACCGGAGCTTGGGAGCAGGATGGACCGTGGGGAGCGGAGACGATTGTCCCCAAACCCCAAGAGCTGGATGTCCCCAGAGGAGAGGAGACGATCGTCACCGGAGCTTGGGAGCAGGACGCACCCACGGGACCAGAGGTGATTGTCCCCAACCCCTGCGACCTGGACGTCCCCCAAGGACCATCGATGACCGGCCCCAAACCCCAGACCTTGGTGTCCCTCAAACCCCAAGACCTTGGTGTCCCTCAAAGACCAGAGACGACCATCCACAACTCTGAGATTTTGGTGTCCCCCAAGGACTGGAGACCATTGTCCCCAAACCCCAGGACCTTGGTGTCCCTCAAGGACCATCGATGACTGTCCCCAAGCCCAAGGCCTTGGTGTCCCTCAAACCCCAAGACCTTGATGTCCCTCAAAGACCAGTGATGACCATTCCCAAGACCTTGGTGTCCCTCAAAGACCATCAATGACCGTCCCCAACCTCGAGATCTTGGTGTCCCTCAAACCCCAGGACCTCGCTGTCCCTTCCCCATCCCCCTGCC